CTTTATCACTGGTACAGATACACGCTTCTTAGCCATTTGAGTAGAACAGAAAGACTGTTTGAGTTGTCAGAATTCTCCTTTCATCAGACTGTAAGATTAAATATTAAATGTTGTCAAAATTTTACGCAGATGGAGCAGAGAGGGGTGATTAGATTTATTCATTGCTGTGGGAGCTTGATCACGCTTGGCCTTCTCAGTGTTTTAATCTCTGGAGCTTTGTCTTAGCGTGTTTGTGTCTGCAGCACAGTTCATGCTCCTTGAAGCTCTCTGGAGAGTGTCAGTGGACAGTGTGTTTTTTATTGTGATGAAGTCACTGAACATGGCTTATATACTTCATCGTTAATGGAATTATTGAGGCAGGATGAAAGCTATTTCCTGAATTTTCATGGTTTTGATTTGGTCACTCAGTCTGTAGGGTCCGTGTTTAGCATTGGGCTGAGGGAGGCGTGGGCCAATCATTGTATTTTATGTGTAGGTCCACAAATTTTCATTCAGTACCCTGCCCTTTTCCCGAAGTGAATCTGAGGTACCTTACAAAATAGAGTAAGTAAAATGGAAGGTAAGTGAGGGAGCTGGGGAGGAGAGGAAGCCAAGTAGGAGTGGTAGGGCCAGTGCTCAGTCATGCCATGGGGGCGTCTGGTTTCAGATCTGACCCTGGGCTCCTTAAAGGCCCAGGCAGAGAGGAAATGCAGTGGATAGCATGGTGTCTGTTGTCTCGACTGGGGGTTCAGCATCACTTGGAGTTTAAGTACTCCTGGTGCTGGACCTCGGGAGTCTGAGTCCTTGTAGAGGAGGATTGACGGTGTCCCTGCCGGCATGTGGGCAAGCAGTGACTGGGGCGGTTCCCTGTGAGTGGTTCTGTGTAAAGGAGCCCTGCTGGTACAGTGCTTAGAGGTTAAGCGCTAACTGAAAGGTTAGCAGTTCAAACCCACCCAGCCCCTTTGTGGGAGAAAGACTTGGTGGTCTGCTCCTGTAAATACTACGGCCTTGGAATTCCTGTGGGCAGATCCACTTTGTTCTTTAGGGTCACTATTAGTTTAAAGCGACTTCACAGCAGTGGGTGTGGTTTGGGCTTTGCTTCTGTGAAGACTGACAGCCTTGGAGACCCTGTGGGCAGTTCCACTCTGTCCTCTAGGGGCG